AATGAAATAATTTACCATAAGACTCAACTGAACACAATACACAGTTATAATAATGTAAAATGTGAATATCGATATAACCAAAAAGAGCGACGTAACACCATTGAGAAGCTGGGAAGAAGAGAACTGTCCGTATGTGTGCATGTGTGCCTGGGTGTGTGTACATTTGCACATGTGTGTGTGTATCTGCATATATGGCGTGAGTTAAATGGATATAAAATGAATATCTCTCATGGCAAGAAGTCAACATAAAATCAAAAACTCAAGAAAAAAATACATGTTACTTTGAATTATGTGAGTTAATATCAAAAGAAACAATTAGAAACATTTGTTATATTTGCTTCAGAAGCCTGAACACAAAGAGAGAAGAGAGAATGGGTAGGACCTGCTGTTTTCATGCTAAGCTTTTTGTATTATTTGACTTTTTAAACTTAGTATATGTAACACTTTGACTTGTTTTTAAAAAGGTCATAAAAAGCTCGGGAAAATATTTGCAACGTTTCTGGAAATGAGTTAATAGACATTAAGTTTAAAAATAAATACTACCTACTGTATTTGTACTTATGATGCTGTCCTGGAAAGACTTTTACCATTTTTTTTTTTATTTCAGCATATTATGGGGGTACAGATGTTTAGGTTATGTATGTTGCCCTTACCCCCCCCAGACTTCTACCATTTTTTAAGAGTGAGAATGGTTGGAAAAGCATAACAAAATTTTAGTTCTGCCTATATAGAAACATATTGTTTATTTGGAAACACTTTAAATATTTAGAAAAGTATAAGAGAGGCAATATACATATATATATATATTTGTACCCTCCAACTATGAGTAAAAAAAAATGTGAACATTAAAAAAAAAAAGGACTATTATGAACAACTCTATGCCCACAAATCTTTGATAGCCTAGATTGTCCTAGAAAAACACAATCTACTGAAATTCAGACAAGGAGAAAGAGATAATCTGAATAGGTCTATGTCTACAAAAGAAACTCAATCAATAACTGACAACCTTCTAAAAGAGAAAGCTACAAGCCCAGATGGCTTTACTGGTAAATTCTACCAAATATTTAAGAAAGAAAGGATACCAATGCTTTACAATTTTTCCAGAAAATAGAAGCATAGAGAATACTTCCTAAGTCATTCTGTGAGGCCAGCATTACTCTAATATCCAAATCAGAGAAAGACAGTATAAGAAAGGAAAATTATAGACCAATATCTCTCATGAACATAGATGTAAAAACCCTCAATGAATAGTTAGCAAATTGAGCCACAGATGTATAAAAAGAATTATACAATACAACCAAATGGGATTTATTACAGGCATGCAAGTCTGGTTCAACATTTGAAAATCAATTAATGTAATTCATTACATCAACAGGCTAAAGAAGAAAAATCACATGATTATATCAACAGATGCAAAAGAAGCATCTGACAAAACCCAGTATCAGAGTTCATGATAAAAATTCTCAGCCAACTAGAAATAGGAGAGAATTTCCTGAAGTTGATAAAGAACATCTACAAAAACTTATAGCTAACATCGTAACGGTGAGAAACTAGACGTTCTAGGTTCATCTTATACTTCCCCTGCCTCAGTCCTGGAATTAGATATTTCTCCAGGGGAATGGTATTTAGAAACCAACATTTGTACACTAAAGTGCTCATTGCTACTTGTATACCAATCCTTTTTTGCTTGTTAAACCATGCTTCACTTACTCAGCAAAAGGAAGTAAGTTATTTGACTATATTGGAATTGCACTGATTCCATAGAGTGGTGGTTCTCAAACTTTAGCATGTATCAGAATCACAAGAAGGGCTTGTTAAAATACAGAATTTCAGATTCGATAGGTTTTGGGTGGAGCCCAAGAATTTTCATTTGTAACAAGTTCCCAGTATATGTTGATGCTCCTGATCCAGAGACCATATTTTGAGAACCCCACTGCTATAGATCAATTTGTGAAGAACTGACATCCTTTCAATCCATAATCCTCCTAATTACCTAGGTTTTCTTTAATTTCTTTCAGTAATGTTTTGTAGTTTTCTGTGTATTATACATTTGTTAAGAAAATGAAAGAATAAAATAATTTAACTTTCTGAGAATTCCAACAAAGCTTACTATAAAATAATACCAAATTTTTTAATGCAATTATAAGGTGATTTTTACAATATTTGTGTGGCTGCTTTTAAAATACAGAAGAGACACAGAATTATACTATTTGCATGTGTCCACAACAATACTTACAGTATTAAGTAAGGCATCATATACAGCATTCACAAATTTAGCATTAATCCCAGAGTCTTCAATGGTATTAAATGAGGCAGTGGCATCTTTCTGCAAATTTGATTGAAGAATTGAGTGTATATATCACTTTAAGGACTATTCTTAGTAATATTTGAAGCATACTACTCTTTCAT